CAAATATTACAGTGAATATTAATCCAAAGAGTGCAATAAATATCATGAAGAATACAATGAAATACTTTATATCCCCGAATACTCCACCGATCATAGACACCAAAAAGCTAAATTCATCGTATACTCTAAGGAAAAAGAAAAGTTTCATAAATGATAAGGCAATGACTACGATGTAGCCAATGATAAGAATATCTTTTTCTACATCCTAGAATTCCAAGATGCTGAGAGCAATATAAGTAAGGAAGTGAGAAAAGTCAAAGATATTCCAAGTTTCTTTGAAGTATTCTAGTCTTTGGTTTCTAATTTAGGTTAATTCATAACCAATGAAGTAGAGTAAAACTATTGAGCTTAAACTCTTACTACCTATAATTAACCATTCTTCTCTAGTATCATTAATTGGTTATTCTTCGGATTCGTACTAGAGCTTTCCATTATAAGTTTAGTAAAGAGTCTCAAAAATAAATGAGATCATAAAAAGCATGTAGATGTAAAACTTTACCTTATAGAAATGTTGAGTATGATTATCCCATTTAAAATTGATGATATGTTAGATTGTTTCATGCTCAAAATATTCAAGTTTGGTAGTTTCATTGAGAGTTTTCATGAATTCAGTTGACTAACCCCTGATTGATTAAGGCAAGTTGACTAAGAAGTATTCAATTGAAACATTAGCTCCCTTACCCACTTCTAGCTTATCTGCAAATAGTTGTTCATACTTATCATGAATATCCTTTGGATTCTCTAAGTTAATCCCAACTATTAAATTTGATTCATCAGAATGCTAAATAGGGAATTTGGAGTCGAAGATTTGATATTTAGGCATACTAGATTCAAAGTATTCCACAAGGTCAATTTACTCCTTAATAAGGCTGCAAAGATTTTTATCAACAATCTCATTGAATAAAATATGATCCTAGTATTTAGTAAGAGCGCTCATCATTAGGTTTATGACTTTTTATTGTCTGTTTTAAATTGCAATATCAAGTGGGTTTTGTTTACCATACATTGGAGGTGCAATTAATATTGGAAGACTCTCTTTATCTTAAATTCCTAGCTATTTCATAATGTATTCCAATGCGATGAAGTTATTTTCGAATATATTAAAGCAATTTCCGAACCCTGATATGTGATTAATATAACTCTTAATATCCATAACCTTGTCAAGTGCTTCTTCAATCTTTGATTTGCTCAACTTTTGGTAGTTTATAATATCATTTAGAAAAATGACATTAGTAAAGAATCCTACTGGCTTATCTTCATTTCTAATATAGAATCTTATCTAATTTCCATCAATTTCTATTTTAGAGGCATGTTAAAAATAGAGGGATTAAACTATTGGTTAGTTATAGCTTTTGAAATCTTTTATTTTATTGATTGAATTAAATTCTTGAATGTAATAAACTCTAGAAGCTCCCTTTTTTTTATGTACAATATGGGTAGGCTAATGAATTTGCTCCTGATATCCATCTTTACCCTCATATTTATCGTTTGATAGATGCTTAAATATTATAGTCTTGCAGACTATTTGATTTTTGTAGAAATTAAAAGTAATTATGTGAGGATTACTAATCTAGAGCAAGTTTTCTTCCAAGTAAATTGAAAAAATTAATCCGCTGCTGCAAGCATATTTTAAATTTTCATCTTCTTACAAGGTAGTAAGATTGAGAAATACACAAGCTTTGAAAGACGAGGCTAGGTTAAGAATCAGCAAGTTCAAATCGAAGTCAATCCAAGCTCTAAAAAATTTTTCAATCCTTGGCATATCCTCAGTTGCTATTTAAGTAGTTGTTTCTTAAGTATTCTTATTAAAATATACTATCTTCGTTCTATCTGGTATCCAAAGGACATAAGAAGGACCATTAAATCTATCTGACATAATACAACAATTATTCTAGCCAATTTCCATGCCATTATTATCTTTGAAAACAGATTGTAGCTTTATAAATCTATCACCATTTAGCTAAATATTCTCACCTTCCTTAAACAGAATGGTATCAGTAGATAGAAGGTCAAATACCTCAGTTTGAGGGAAATCAGTGACTCTCTAAACAAATTCTTCAGGACGTCCTAGTATGCTAATATCTCTTTTTACAGAATTTACTGCATTAAGATAGTTGCTTGACTAAACAATTCTCTATGGGAAGTTTTCATTTAAATCCTGGATGAGAATTTCTTCTGATTCTTTAGGATTTTCAAAGAAAATAGTATCATTATGGATTGATTTGAAATTTGAAGAATAGATCGGTTTCCCTTTAGATTGTGGAATATATAGATTTACAAAGTCATTTTTTGATGATCTTAAATCATAGATAATTATCTTTTTGTAGGATTAAGAAAATAAAATTCCATAATTCCTGTCAGGATCTATAGCTGTGTAGTCTAAATTCATGTGATTTATTTCATTTAAGAACTCAAAGCTATGAGCATCAATTACGATATATTTACAGAATCTTTCTTGTTTCAACTTTAAAATTAGTCTTTCCTTAGTAAAATCAGCATTTGACAACTAATATCTCTCATCAAATTCACAAAGCTTTTTTATCTTTGTAAACTCATACGCTTAATCGAATGTGTAAATGTTGAGGAATATATCAACAGAGTATCTTAGATCTTCATTTTATATCGCAATAATTTTGGTCCATTCAAAATCCTTGACAAGGTTTGTAGTTTTGTAATCAAACACGTAATTTCTCTTCTAAAAGTTAAAGCTGATCTAATTATTAAAACCAGGCTATAGCATCTTTACTAATCCTCCTACTGGTAAATAATGGAAGAGATTTTGGTTTTCAATCTTGGTGAAAGTTAGAGGGGTGTGAGGAGGTAGTCTACCTTATAATTTTTTGAAAGTATCATCATCAATTCCAAACTCTAACTCCTATTAAGCAGCTGGAAAAGAACTAATTGAGTCTTTCAGATTGACAAGAAGAAGCAAGTTAGTCATTCTTGATAATGAACCAACACAAAGTAGATTAAATTCATCAAGAATCTAAACTAATCTGAAGGAAAAGCTTTATTTGAGTTCAATTTTAACTTAGTAGTTTTCTAAATTTTCAATTTTCTCTAGGTCATAGATGAACAAGTTTTGATTCAACTGCATGCATATATAGTCTTTGCCATTGAAAAATTAGTGGGAAACAAATTTCATGGCCTTGATTGGGTGAATATATACTCTATCCAATTTCCCAGAGTCTATATCCCTAAACTCAAATTTAGTTTTTTCCCCCTCAGAGCTTTCAAATCCATAAACTATCATGAACTGATTTTTCTTGAAGAAGAATGCAGTACAATGCAGTTTTTCTATAGCTTGCTCAAATTGAATAGGCTCTTTCATTTGTTAACTATCATATTCATGATAATCTAACTCCTTAAATTTATCAATAACCCATTGATATGGAGGTGAATCTTTATCAGTAAGAATTTACTTTTCATTTGTTTGAAGTAGAGATTGCTTGAGTGTTTGGTCTTTGTCAAGATACATATTTAAACTATGTTTTGGATATTTTAATAAATGATACTCCTATTGAATAATAAATTTATGTAATTAAAACGGCATTATTCAATTTAGAAATAATTTAGCATTAGTCACAAAACCTAATTCATAGCTCAGAGGGGTTTTGGGGTTTTGGGGTTTTGGGG